TAAAGTTAATAAAACTGCCTTCTAACACCAGCAGTCACACCTTAGATCAAAATAAAAAGCCAAGCATAAAATGACTTCGTGCACAAGCTCTGACATTCAGATCTTTCACACTGAAAAGTGCATGGATGTTGAAAAACTAAACAGTAAATATTTTAGCACGTAGGTTAAATGAAAATTTGCCCCATGCAAACAATTTATCCCTTTTTATATTTAAAACTGTAACAAAAAGCATATGTATAAGGAAATATCTGATAATTACAAGACAATTGCCTAAATGACCAAGACATAAGCTTCTACCACACTGACAGAAACAGGGCACCACACTTGAATAGTATATATTTTTCAAAGCTTGCTCAAAAGGCAGGCCTCTTAATTTTATTCTAAATTCTTCTTTAGAACTGTTTGTTTAATACAGTTCTCATTCTTGTGTTTTCCTATGAATTTTATGATGCAAGAAATTGTTGTCCCCGATACTTACAGCCAAAATGCCTGCAGAGCTGCCAATGATAAATAGTGTCAAGGTTTTTGGATAAGATTTTTCTGAATGTTCTATAACTTACAAGACTTTAGCTAGTCAAATTAACCATGAATGTTCAAACTGATAGGATTCAAAGAAGGCATTTTAAATATAAAGACAAAAATGCTTAAGTGAATTATTTATAAGACATAGCAAACTGTGAACAGAAACCTACCTGCACCTTTTTTCCCCACCCAGATGATGCTTCACTTACTCCTCAAATTCTCTAACAGCTCAGGATAGATTTTTGTATTTATATCAGTTCCACTTAATATAAAAAACAGCTGTATTTCCAAATCAGCTGTCATTTTATGAAGCAAGTCAAGTGTACTCACGTGGGAAAAAACATTATTTAAAGATTGAATTATAAATTATTGCATTTGTGTAGTTTTCACAGATATGGAAAAGAAAACAAACAAAAAGTCAGACTGGAAAAGAGAAAATTCTCTTACTGCATTGGTTTACATGGCTCAACAACAATATTGGCAATAAATACATGAAATTTCTGTACAGGAAATTTATTTGGATTTGATTAATTTTGCTGATGATGTAGACCTTGACTTTTGAACCCTTGATTCTCAGAAAGAAACACCGTCGGTAACACTGTCAAGGCAAAACATTTTGGCGATTGCTGTGCTACCCAGTGGTATTGCCTGTACATAGCATTGCCTGTAGTGATACTCCAAGTATACAGTAATTCATACAGAACTTCTGTAAGCTGTGCAAAGAAAGTAATCAGTAATATTAATAAGCTGTTATCCCTGGAGGATCAAAGTGCAAGATTGAAGGAATTTTTCGACTTACACAGCAACCTCTGGTATGCTCACTTGTCTAGTAAGTATCAGATTTCTCCGTCCTTTTACTTGCACTTCAAGCCTGTCTCTTGTTTGAATAATCCTGTGCAATCCACTTCTATTTTTAAATAAAAATGGATTAATTCTGTTTAATTTCCTCTCTAAATCCTATCCTAATTTATGTTTTCAACTTGCTCATCCAGTCCTGGTTTCCCACCTTGCTCCACCTGCACTCCTTGCTTGATACCAGACTTCATTATAAACTTTTTATTCCAGTCTCTCCCTCTCTTGCAGTTATATTATTAGCTATCTCAGCATTAGCATTCTCCCCCTGAATAATTCCATCTACCCAAAAGCATTACTTCCAATAGCCCAGATCAGATGTCCTCTGCAGAAAACTGTTCAGAAACAGCTGTAGTCTTGAAGCTCTGGACTGGACAGGAAATTCACCACCAGAAAATTCTTAATCTTGTTCCTAGCCAAATCATAAGTATTTTCATATGTACATTTTCAAAAATGTCCTTTGCAAAAGATGTGTCATGGCATCAACATGGCCGTAATCTGGTCAGATTTTTAATGGCCAGATGGCTTGAAATTTTCAGACTGAATCAGGGAAGTTATTTGCTTTTTCCTTACCTTTTACATATGGGCAAATTGAGGTTTTGACCCTTTCTTTTCCTTCAGAAAAAGATCTGTTCTTGTCAAAATTCGCCTTTTTACTATCATCATTAGAAGAACTATTTGAAAGCTGATGCAGAAATAGTACCTGAAAAAAACCTTCATGCCAAACTCTAATGTCCTGGCAATCATCTAGTAAGGATAAAACACTACACATCACTGACAGCACCACTCAGGAACACAACTGAGGCCTAAATAGTTTGTCTTGCCATTCATTTTTCTTTTTCTTTTTTTTTTTTTTTTTAAGTTAAGACTTTGAAAGTCAAAATCCAAACCAGGAAAATGAAACAAACAATTTTTTTACATTTTGCAGCCATAAAGATTACTGAAAACGGATAATAATTTCCAATATATGATTTTTTTCTCAATATGTCACTTTTTAACAAATCCTTGAGTGAATGGTGTGTTTGACTCAAGTTAGACCCACTCCCAGTCATATGTATGTTATTTCAGTTTAATAAAGTAGGTATTTTTCAATGCTGTTGGAGATCAAGTGTAACATAGAGCTTTGTTTGTTTTGGGTTTTCCTAAGAGGAAAATAAAAAAGATAGCATGTCTACTGCAGTATTAACAGCATTGTTTAGATTATGTATATTTTCTCAATTAAAACCTTACTGTACAATTTAAAGTTGTTTGTAAATACCACTTTATTGAAAAAAAATCAATGATATGGCTCTTGGGTGATCTTTTTTCTTTTTTTTATTAAATACTGGAAAAAATCTGATTCTCATTTGCCCCACAAAGAGGCTTTTTTTCATCCAGTCCCATTCAATAATGAAGTTCCTCTACCTTAATGAAGAGGTTACCTATTAATCTCTTACTAATTTTATCTTCAGAGAACCAAGTATTTCCAGGATCAACGAACCATGGCTATAATCAAACAAACTGAAGGTCCTCAAAGCTACTCTTTGTCTGGGTTTTGGCTGGGGTAGAGTCAATCTTCTTCCAAGGAGCTTGTATAGTACTGTATTTACTATGAGAATGTTGATAACACATCCACAACTCAGGTGCTGCTGAGCAATGCTGACACTAAGTCAAGAACTTCAGTTTCTCATGCTACCCTGCCAATGAGTGGGTGGGGATCCATGATAGTCTGGGAAAGGACACAGCTGGGCAGCTTTCCCTGACTGGCCAAAGGATGTTCCATACCAGATGGTGCCATGCTCAGTATATAAACTAGGGGGAAAGCTGGCTGGGGCTGGGCTGGCCATAGGTGGTGAATGACTGCTTTTCATTTGCATCACTTCTTTTTCTTTCTTCTTCCTTGTGGTTTATTGATCTCTTGTGGTTTATTTTCCTTTTCAATAAAATTTATTATTCTTATTTTATTTCAATTATTAAACTGTCCTTATCTCAACACATGTATTTTTTTACTTTTCTGATTTTTTCCCTCATTCCACCAGGGGAGGAGAGGAGTGACAGAGCAGATGTGTGATGCTTAGTTACTGCTTGATGTTAAATCAGGATACTTTTATACCAGTAGCCAACAGGGTACATTTGACAGAGGTTAATTAATCGGAAAGGTAATTAATCATCAAGGTGGAGAAGCAAAGAAGAAGTCTCTATATGTTCCTTTTTAACATGTCTAGCTTGGGGATTAACAAAAAAGCCCCTAACAATTTTTCTACCATTTTGAATTGGCAACACTATGATATGTAATCCTGAAGAGGAATCTCTAATATTCACTGTCTTCACTTTAATTTTTGCCACGAAGTTACAGAGAGAGTATACTAAACCAACAATAAATTGAATAACAAGAAGGCCACATGTATTAGAAATGCAATATTCCCTTTAAACAAAGAAAAGACTATAGAATAATCTTAAAGGCAATGTGAGCCTACTAAGTAGATGCCAATGCACTAGATCAAGAAATGAGCATATAAAAAGCTGACACAATGTCTTTATCTTGGTTAGCTGGTGGGAATCCAAACGTGCCAAGTGAAAACATACTTCAAATATGATTACAAGTTATGTATCATTCAGATATGTTTTTGAATGTGCAAGATGAGTATCTAAGTTATTTCTGCAGTATGTTGTATCACAGTGTATATTCTGAGCACAAACGTAGGAACAAGAGATGGAAGAGACACTTTTGTCTAGAGTAATAAACTCTAAGATCCTTTTGCTTTTGAGTAAACAATAACCTGCAGCTCTGGATTCACAGATTGCCAGAGTGCCACTTGTAATTACCTCCATATACAATTTTTAAGTACCACAGAATTTTTACTAAGTCTGCCATATACAACTCCATGAAAAAATCAAAACAAGAATGTGCAAATTGATTAGGACAAGATCACCTTCAAAATGCCATGTACTATGTCACTGCAAATAATTTCTGCCTGGTATTAACCAGGCATTCATGTGATAAGGGATTTAAATGTATAAATTTAACATAGCAAAAATTATGCATTCAAAGGACCTAAGCATGCACAGTATTCACTACACCAAAAAAAAAGAAAATAAAAGAAAAAGGCAGATTCATTTATATTATGCCCCCTCAAAACAGAGGATATTAAAACAGTTAAATAATGACTAACATCTCAGTCATTTTAAACACCTTATAAGCTGCTCTTCGATGGTTTAACATTCTTTGCTGAACTACTGTTATAATACGCGCTTTCTCATAATTTTACCTTTAGAGAACTGTAATTACATCTATTATCAAAGTAGCCAGATTCTATTGGAAAATATCCCAAACTACCTCAATGAATTTCATAAGAAAATAGCAAAGATGGCTTTTATAATTCTTTCTATTATATACAAGCAATGAAGCAAAATAATCACAAAAAACAAGTATTAAAGAGATTATCAATAATGAAAGCAGCTTTAATCATTTGGGGGTATTTGAAAAATGATTTAGGAATTAAGTAAAGTCTGTGAGAAAGAGCTCATTATGAGAACATGTCAAAAGTTAAAAACACAGACTAGAAAAAAGTTTTTAATTGTACAGTATGTTTTAGCTCCTATCAATCACTGTTAAAATCATTTGAGCTTAATAAGCAGATATTTACCTGTTGGAACAAGACAATCTTTCCAATCAAAATATCCTGCATAAATGCCAGGTTCTAATGACCCAACTATTGGATCTGCCTTGAATTCAATGTACATTTCAAACAGTCTTTGATCCAGCTCTTTCAAGGATTCCATACTAACCTAAAAAATTAAACAAAAAAAAGGAAGGAGAAAGAACATAGTAAATAATCATTAACTAAAAGAATTTAATCACATACCCAAAAAATTGCCTCATGTCTTCTTTAATTTCAGCAAAAAGCAGCGATTACTGACACATTTCAATTTATAATTATGTATATAAAAACTTAAGAATTTCCATATTATCCGTCCATCCTACCCAGTATAATTTTTTTTTTCCTGATTGTATTCAGCAATAGACATTTTCATGAAAAATACAAGAAATGTCGAAGCAGGCAGATCATTCAGTAACTGTCTACTGGCGTGATTTTTTTTCCCAGCATGTCAGGAGGCCTTTATCTTGCAAAGTAAACAACTGAATTTTGTGAATGCTTCAAGATATACCAATAAAAGTTTCCATCCTTAAACATGAAAATTTTTGTATAATACTTTAGATTTATCAATTTTAATTTTAAAATTTCTCACTATATTAAAAAAAAATACATTATTTATTTAGAAGTCTCTGTCTTCTGAAACTGAACCCTATGGACTTCCCCTCTCTACTTCAATAAATCTCTGTACAATAGAAACAGAAGATGCAGCTCATTAACATCTGCAGAACCCTTCTCTTTAACAGCTCTCCATGCATTTTTTTGTAATTCACACAACTTAGCCACACTGAAAGCCAAGGGGATATGGGCCGTTTGTTCACTGTATCTGAACAACTTTAAATTTTATATAAGGCTTTTTATTAAACATAAGTATCCCTCGTAATTATAGCTTCTACAGCGATTCTATAATATAATGCATATCATAAAATGTTGAAATAGAACTCCATTATCTAAACATAGTAATGGATGCTAAATGCAAATAAAATGAAATGAAAACTAAGATCAAATTCTCATGTGACTTCTGGTGAAATATATTTACCTATTTATAAATAAATAAGCAACACAAAAATAAAGCTTTTAAACTAGTGTTCATTTTCCTGAACAATTAGGGGAAAAGGCACACACACCCCCACCCACACATGTACACGTATATATGAATAATAATTTTCAGAAGTAAAGGGGTTTAAAAATGAGGTCTGCTTTAAAAGCAGGTCTCTAGATCAGACTGGGAATTCAGAAAAAGAAAGAAAAGACTCCTTATCCTTCCTCTCTCAGGATTTAATACTGCAATCTGTGGAATAAGGGTTGAAACTTATTCACTAGAGGGATGTCTCTAAATTGTGCTCTACTCTGGTATGCCTACACTGTTAAATGAAGAGAAAAAGGAACTGCAATATTTGAGCCAGGAACAGAAGCAGAGAAGCTTTCAGGAAGGAGATCACAAGTGTAGGAGAAAACAGTTGTTATTGAGGTCAAAGCTGATCTTAGGAAAGTTGGGATGGTGAAGTTGGTGCTCAGTAACAAGTCACACTACAACTTTCCAGCTTTTCTAGGTGATGAACCTTCTTTGATTTGTCACAAGAGGATCTCTATCCCAAAGGAAAGCTTTCTATATGGCATAAGAAGACCAAGGCTATTTTCTTCCTCTTTTCCCTCTACCTGACAGCCTATTTTAAAAAAGAAGAACACATTAAAAAAGGTACAGAAATCTCACTCTTTTTTCCTCTTACACAGGTTTCAAGACATTTTTTACTTCAATTTCTTATGATTAGGGAGAATAACAACCCTTAGACCATTCCTATTTAGCTTTGAACTAGTGGGAAAAGTAAGTTTGAGTGTAAAGTCCCTGCAAATATGCCCCCATTCAAAGAATCTGTGAAACAACTGCTTCAATGTTCCTCAGCGAAGTGCTATAGAATTAAGTAATTCCACCTTCCGCTTTTGTGTGTTATTCAGTACAAAAGATCATCTGCACATTCAATACAGGTTTTTTTGCTTCATACAAGTTCTTTTCAGCCTGTTTCAAGTTCAATATACAATTAAAATAGTGGTAACCTGGTTTTTCAGCTGGTGGAAATGTTGCAAGAAAGATGAACAATTAATCTGAAAGTAATTTTGACCCCAGGATTGGGGGAAGAAAGCAGAGCAGAATTCCTTAACATCCACTGTGTATACCCATTTACCTGATCCTCAAGTGGGCTAAATGCTTGCAAAAATATACAATTCTCACATTGCTGTCTTTCTGCTATGAACACTCCTGTTACTACAGTTTTCAATTCTTGCATTAAAGCCATTTTGAGCCTCTACCCTTCGACATGATCTAACTACCAGCACTGTGGAAACAATTTTATTCAGAAGCTTAATCAATAAGCTGGATGAATTTTATAGGATACATCTTTTTTTCTACTTCTTGAATGACTAAACTGATGATAAGTTGAATTAAAGAATCTCCACAGAGAAGTACAAGAGTCATGAGTATGTGCCAAGGTAGCATGTGCTAAAAGCACAGTGTAATGTTTGGCTGCTTTACATAATTTTGCATTTGGCACACTAGGAAAAAAAATTGTAATAACCATATAGAGTGTAATGAAATGTTCCTGGCTACCATTTATAATTTCTGTACTTCAGAATATTAAATAGTAATGATTTCCCTCCTAACAAAGGCAACTTTAAAAAAAAAGCCCAGTGTAAGAATAGGTATTTTTTTACTAAAACACACTACCAGATTCACTTTAAAATTAAATTTATAAAGCTGACAGAATTTAAAAGCATAATTTAGTTTCAGTCTTTTCAGATAAAACTAATTACATTTTTTTTCAATTATTTATTACAACTTTTAAATCTAATATTTAAATAAATTAAAAACTTTCAAAAACTGAGGTGAGAGAACAAAAAACTAAAGCAATCAATCTACCCCTCTAAACATCTGTGAGGTTCCATCCTCACTTAAAATTAATAAAGGCTCAAAAACTGCCCTCTTATGATGGCTATCTAATTATCCAAATCCCCTCAGCTGGCATTACCCATTGACATGTCCCATACATGCAGTATTGCACCAGTCAGAGTTTTCAAAGGGTTAACACAATTTGGAAATCCATCTGCCACTTCAACATCTGAATTTGGTCATTTTTAAACGTACCAAACTTTCAGTGGCAATACTTTGATGTGGCTGTGCAAGGCAGGGTGTTGAACATATACTAACAGATGTCTTAGCTGCTTCTAACTGTACCAGGCTCAAGTCTCAGTAGCAAAAAATGGCAATATCCAGAGTAATCTTCTATATTGTACTAATCATACAAATCATAGCAATCCCTCTGAAATGCTATTCAAAACTACTTAAGTCTGTAGAAATTCAGCAACGTTCAGGCATAATGGGACTAAGGATGTAATACACAGTTGAACAATCAGTTTGAGTGAAATACTGTACTCTGTACTGGAAAAGATAACATTTTACTTCCAACCAACAAATATTTCTGTAAATAAACTAGCTTTATGGTCCTAAGGATTAAGTCACAACATTTCTCATAAGAAGTGATTAATCTTTACAAAAAGGCAGGAAAATGAGACAGCTACTGCCACCCACTTTGACATTTTCGTTCTTTGAAAAAGTAAAAACAACAAAAAACCCCCCCAAAACACAACAAAAAAACCATGAACTAGTTTACGAACAAGAGCTATCAGTAATGCAGATTTCCAGATGAAATAATTTATCAAGTATATTCCTGAGATAACAATCTTTTACTTTCTGCATTGAGAGAACACAGTGACATTAAACAGCTTTACTAAGAAATCTGATAAGCTCTGCCATTGAATACACAAGTCCTGAACAAGAGCTCACATTTTCTTTACTGGCTACTTAAGCCCTGTATGAACACACTAGACCATATCCCTGTTGTTGCATCCAACTAATACTTGTAGTCCCACCCATTTGTGGAGGGCTCAACCAAGAGTGATTTCAGATGTTGGGACATTCACACCTACTTTTCACAGAAGGTAAACCAAATAAAAATCTTCAAGCAATGATGCTTCATTCCAGTGCTGTCACTTACTTGAGTTATTTTATCAACACCTTGGAAGCCATGTTTCTCAAAATGTTCAGCTATATTTAGGAAGGTATGACGTTCCAGGTAACGGCAGTTACTGAGTGCAATTAAAAGTCTCTGCTCCTAAAAAGTAAGAGAAGGAAGAGTGCAACAGTTGACAAAAGAAGTATCAGCATAACCAACACTGTAAATGTATATAGAGTATTTTACTGACTCTCTGTGCATATGAAACATTCTCATAAATAAGGTAGGGTTTACAAATATTTTTGTAAATAAACTACTGAGAAGTGAATGAGTATCAGGTGTGATGATTGAACAAGATGCTTCTTTTTATAGGATTCAGAGCATTCATTGGAATAGTTGTGACTAATACAGAACTGTGGTTAAGACTTCTTTACAAAAATTAGGTTTGGACAGCTTTCCAGGAAGCTGTTTCTGGATTTTACTTTGTTTCAATAAATATACTAAGAATTATGACCATCATAAAATCAACTGAAGATGATCTTCACTTTCCCATGAAGCTGGCTAAAACAAGGGAAGCAGGTACTGAAAAAATGCACTCACCAACTCTAAAATACTAGAAGGTTCTCAACTACATTATATAATTTCAGCAGTTTGAAGAAATTCTAGGTGGTTATAACTTATGTCCATCCTTTAATGTTTTGTTTTTTTTAACTACAAGGGAGTCAAATACATTCTGGAGTTGAGATACCACAATTGCCTTTCCTTGATCTTGATATAATAAGATACAGTTTCCAAACAAAGAACCAAACAAGACAGAACTACTATTTAAATAGATTGGTTCTTCCCTCTTCCCCTCATTTTAATTTCAAACTATTTTTCTACCTCAGATGAAAGTTTAATTGAAGTTAACTGAGAAAATATTTTGAAAATAAAACTATTTGACAGCAAAGCCACTATCTAACTTCACTGATCTGATTAAAAATGGTATTGGTTTTCAGACCCAGAACTCCTGACAGTTTTGTATTTCAGTAATATGATGACTAAGACTGAGAGTTGCCTTCTACTTTAAATTATAATCAGGAGCATGCAGTCTATTCAAAAAATGAGAATTTAAAAAATACAGACACCAACCTTAACTCCAATCACTCACTTTCTCTGTTCTCATTCAAGAAGAAGACAAATGTCTTGTGATTTACATAAGAAAATGATACCATGGAACCATGGAAGCCAGACATTGTCTAAAATTATAACTCCTTTTTTTTTTTTTTTTCAGTGTTTGTACTTATGACATATAGGAAGAAGCTTCAGCCACAAGTCAACAATTAATATCAAATCTATGTGTTTCAAGAATAAAATTATATAAAGAACTAGTTATTACAGTCTACAATTCAGAAACTTGCCCCAATTTGGAAATCTATGATTCTTTATTGTAGCAGAAATGCTTATTGCTCTTGTAAATTAGGCAAACCTGGGCTTCTGACAACACTTAAAACCTGTACTAAGGAATATTAATTTCAAAAGAGGCTCTCAGTAGGTTTCTTGCAGGTAAAACCTATGTTTTTTCATCAGCTGCTTAAATGGAAGAAAGTACATTTACCAAAGTAACAAGAATATTAAAAATCTTCTTCCAATTTCCTAAAAACCCAAAAGCAAACAAGCCAAACAAATAACCAATACTTTTTCTCGGTAAATTTTTTGGGAGAAACTCTATTACTGAATATCTGCATCTTTGCGGGTTTTAGAAAGTAACTAATAATCAGACTGATTCTAATCTAAAACAGGGTCATAAATCAAAAGTCAAATCCTCAGCTGACTTAACACCAGTGCTATTTTCAGTGATTTCTGTGATGCCATTTTAGTTTCTGAGGACCCACTTTCAAAAATCACTTTCATGAGTTACCTTAACACGTACACTAAGATACCATAAAAACCAGTGCTTTCAACAAGAGAAATGCCTACGGAATACAAAATCGTTCTCTATAAAAAAAGAAAACAAAACCCCCACTATTTATAATATTGCAACAACGAAAAAGAGCCACATTCTTGTATCTTTGAGAAGTATTTTCACATCAGGTTTCATATACAGAAGCCAAACTTACTGAAGAAAGACTTGACTCTTCATGAATGCTTCCAAACAAATCTGGAGATGAAACATCAACTGAAAGACTAGGAATATTGTTTAAAAAGTAAGTATATACAAAAGTATATAGTGCTTTTGATACATGAAAAGAAATTTATAATGGTGGATTCAAATCAAGAAGAATGAATGCAATCCTGTTTCACACCCTCCTTACACCAGAAAACAAAGCAGCCCATGTTGTTCAGTTTTTCCAAGATGCCCACAAAGCCTGCAGGAGCAGCTTGGTGGTCCGATTGTAGTATTCTAGCTACAAACCTTTCCTTTCCTTCTAAAGCATTTTTCTTTTCTATAATTTCTCTGTTTTGCCACAGATTCTGTTTTTACCTATCCAGCCAATGGTCATCTGAATAGGAAGAAAAAGACATTTCATTAAAACCAGAGTTAATTTGCCCTTTCCAATGCGTATTGCTATATTTGCCAAATCTCTGGCTTTTCACAAATGTTTGTAACTCTTGGAAATTCAGGTTACTCTGACTTGTTCTGGTCTCTAAAATAAGTGGCTTGGAAGCATTTATTGAACAAACAACTTTCCTTTAGCAGAAATACAAATAAAATCAGCAAAAAAATAGAAAGGAAGAAAAGAAAGGCAGGCGTTGTTTCACCATGACTGGACGTTACTTAGTGACAAGTACAACTGAGTCCATGTAAAGTCATGTCAAAACCAACACATCTGCTATAACAGCACAAAACTTGTGTCACTGAATAAAATGGTGTAAGTAAAGTAATACTAACTAACTTGTAGGATCTTTATTACATGATGCCACACAACGTTTTGGCATAAAAAGTACCTGTTCTTATTTCAAGGCATCACTATTTAGAGGCAAAAGTATTCACAAGAAATATGAAATACAGAAGGGATAAAACCTCACCCCCACTGAAATTTAAGACTTGCACACACAATTACAGAATACTACACATAAATCTTATTTCTTTTTACTTACTGTGATGTATCTATGTCACCATCAGGTTTGGTGCTCAGTTGTTCCAAACAATCTATAAAGCCCTAGGAAATAATAAAGCAAGACCTAAATTTTCTGCCAGAACTAAAAAAAGTTCTCAAATTCACTTTCATTACACTCAATAAAAGCAATCATCACCACCTTGTTCTGTCTTAAATCTTACATTAATACAGTAATATTTAGTTACAACTTTTGAAGGCATATTTTTGATTTGCATGCATCATAGTTTACTTGCAGGAAAACACAGTAATTTTTAATCCTGACAAGTAATTTTCGTGATGAATGTCTAAAATTATGCAGTGATAATCTGCTGATTAGCATGGCTAACAATTTTCATGTGCTCAATCTCAACAGTGGATCTCAACTAAAAATTGCAGAAGCCTCATTATAATCCTTTTGTTGCTTTGGCTCATGATTTCTTATTCGAGGAGACTACTAAAATACTTCAAAACTCTAAAGAATGCTATTACCTAATTTCAAATCAATTTAAAAAAAACAGATTTTGTTACAAAGAACACTTTTCTGCTACAAAAATTAAAAGCCAGATCCTCAGCTGATGAAAATCAACATTTTTCTTCTCACTGCAGTATATAGATGTTAGATGGCATCAGCTCAGGAAGTATAAATTGTCAATAAAATCTTGAACAAATCTTACATTCAGTAAAATACTTGAATATGTCACTTACTCTATGAGCATTTGCCATCACCGGATTGAGCTAATAGGTTCTATCTACTTTTAAAGTCAAACATTGCTCAGAATCCCAGACTGTACCAGAAGAATAACACAGTCATCAACTTAAGCTACCTTTTGGGAGGTGAGTAAGGTGCAACTCACACATTTTTGATTGTCACTTGAGTTGACAATTGTGTACTTCAAAGTGCTCAAGTTACCTGCATGATCCCAATGCTTAGCTGACACACATCCTCCTGTGTTTTCTGCTGCTGAAAAACCTGAGGATGTAAGCATATTATTTCAGCAGAACAACTTCATATGATCTTATTCTCAAGGAAGGCCTGAGTAACTTATCCCTACAGAGATGACACAATTAAAGGAATGGCTGCTGGGACACTGTTTTCTTATTGATTAATTTCAATTTATCTTCTCCATCCTAAAAATGGGAGAGACAATACATGTCCCAGTAAATAGTTTGATAAGCATGAGGAGGTAACATAGTAAAAGGAAGAAAGTCCTAGTACATGTGCCATGTGTCATTGTTGGCTAATGGAATTGCAGCAAAAGCTCCCAGGATATTTCAAGGTCTTTGTGTCCTAAAAAGGGGGATTCATCATACAGGTAAATTCACTGCAGATTCTTTTGAATAGTGCTCATTAAGAAAACAGAGAAGCTAGTCAGAAAGATTAATGTAAATGAGGAGAGAGAAACAATATCTATACACAGGGCCCCAAGGGAGCTTGGAAAAGTGTTCCCTTAGAACACTGAAACTTGAAAGAAAATGTCAATGTTTCAATCAAACAGGGCCTCAAGGTACTGAGTAGATGGGGACAAAGAATTGAATTTAAGTTCTTCAAGTCATTTGGATCCAACACCACGTGAAGAGTAACTCCTAGGAATCTCTCTCACTTTTTCATTTTAGATGTAACGTATACTGCTATCTGAAAATTACATGAGTAGCACTCTTTTTTCCAGAACAACAGCTTTAAGGATTTAAATACCTGTTCCATCCGCCCCATAAACACAAATTACCCTTAACAAACGAAGCACAAACAGAAGTCTAAAAGCTAGCACAAGTGAAAAGGTGTACATGGGAAAAAATAAAGAGGAAAGTTATATCCTTGGATCACTCTCTTAAAGTTTTTTCATGTAAATTACTATTGGGTTTCAGAAGAAGAACAAAAATGAAAACATAAATCAAAACTTACACTGGCTTCTCCAGGTTTGCAGTCCAACACAGTTTTAAGAGATTGTAAGGAATGAATAATGCATTGTTCAAACTGGGATGGCTGAAAGTCAAACGAGTTGTTAGCTATAGATAAGCATGTTAAATATACACTACACAAATACATAAAAACTTACGAGGTATATAGTAAGCTCTTTATTTCAAATTATCCCAAACAAGGGGTGGGATGGGAAAAAAAAATAAAAAATCACACTTTATGTATTACCAGAGGATTCTTTCATAGTGATGCGCTTTTGGATGCAAATTATCTACAGAATTATTACCATAGATCAATGTACATTTTTTTTATCTGAATGTAAGACTTTTATACCAAGCAGCCTCATATAAAAGGCTTATGAAAGATTTTTAGAGCTTTCTGAAGTAGCATTACAGATGCCTGTTGACACACTCCCTCCTCCACTTCTTGATCCAAGATGGATAGAATTTCGCCTGGGATGTCCAATATTTCTGCAGTGTATTTCAGCAAAAGGTTTCTAAGAAAATCAGAATGAAGCTTGTTTCAAATGGAACAAAAAATGGTTTGAGGGCCTGTTGTTACCTTCAAGTTTCCAAACCTGAAATATGAGTGTCTGGATAACATTTATCAATTTCATCCTGAAAGTGCAAACAAGTTCACAGCAGAGTCATTAGTCACTTTTTCTTCGTCTTTCTCTCTTCCCTAGTAAGTCACACTTTATTTTTTTAATGCACCTGTCTGCTGGTATTGGTCAGGATCCTGTTGTGCAGAGCAACATGAAGCAGTCGCTACTCCAGAAAAGAGAGACATCATCTTACTGGATTTGGGTCAAAGAAGTGGACGCAAAAGTATATAAGCTCTGTAAACTTGCTTTTCATTCAGTAGATAGTTCATGGCATTGCACTAACTTTAAGCTTAGGAACAACTTACTTCTGTAAATGGTGGATGTGGATTGGGAAACGGATGCTCACGTGGCAAAATGAAAATCATGAAAAAAGTCACTAAGACAATCTGTATTTAGTAGTTTTGGATCCCTTAAAAGAAGGCGGCCAGCAGTAAAGTGCTGCTCTTAGGTTTGTGCTTCCACACTATAAAACATCACATCTCAGGAGATGGAAGTTGTTTAGATATGTGATTCTTTGGCTATTATGAAGCTGAGAAAACCTGGTTCTGTATGTCATTGTATCTTTTACCTGGAATATAAATGCTAAAGGGGTCTTCAGCCTTTCCTATAAACTTAAAAAACAGTTTCTACCTCAAGCCTAAAATGTCCCAAAAGAGACTTCCTAGCCCGTTTTTATACTGGTTAACCTTTGCTCTAATATTACCCCGATGAACTCTACTTTAGTAGGTAAATAATCTCACTATGACAAAACACAGTTGGCTTCCACCATTAAAATTTGGCACGTTTCAACCATGGCCTCCAAAGGTATCTAGTGAAGTACTGTATATAAGGAATGAATGGGTGATTTCGAAGCACAAAAACGACTTAAGCAGTTTTTTAATAAAGATGGGTTAGGCTACACCACAAGCATAAAGAAACAACACTCCTGTGGAAGAACCTTCCCCCGCCTTCATTCAGGTGATTAACATAGTGACAAACAGCAAAGTTAAGGGACTTGCCCATAGCAGCAGCAACTGAAATCAAGACCAGAAGCTGTAAATCTAGTTATAGTACTACAATTGACAACAACACTCCTTCCCTACGGTATGCATATTGTGACTGCTTAATGTCCTCCTACTCAACTTCAAACACATATTTATAGAAGCGAGTAAGAAGAACTAAAAAAGTCTGAGGAGCATTCCCTTAGATAACATACACAAAGCAACTCTCCCTCCCACAGGCCTTTTCTGCTTTCGCAGAGTGTATTTAAGTCACACCTACAACGTGCTTGCTGTGTTTTAGGCATTACTCATTACTGTTTATTTCCAGAAAGCATCTCACTAATTTATCTGAATTTGGTTTCAAGTCATTGGTTGTTTGCATGTAGGCAATATCCTAAATTAGTTGCTTTTCAGTTCAATTTCTCATTATAACATGTAAGTGACCTCTTTATTTAGCTATAGACCAATTCCATGGTAGTGTGCCTACTAAGTTATGAAGCATTTTGATGTGAACTGAACTTGCGACCTCAAGTATGAGGTTTACTCCAGTAAACCATTCAAAGAGGCAACTATTCAAACAATTTAAAAAAATTAGCTTCCCATATTTTCATATTTTAATAAAACTACAGACACTAGTATGCACACACAGATAGCGTCCAAAATGATCTAAATTTTGGAGCATATAGAAATCACTTTCATTACACATGCTAAAGAAAGAAAAAATCCAGCAAAGAAAGTGCCCACAAAACACCAAGTATACCCACCAATGATGTCAAACCTTCATTGTCAACAACCCAGTCCTCCTTTTCAGCTAATCTCTTTATATCTGTAGGACAGAATAAGAGGGGAAACATAGGATGAGTGGGTGGGGAGAGAAGGTATAAATTTTAATTATTAAAAACTCCTTGAACTTGAAAAGAAACCACAGACACTGGAAATGCAATGACTAGGCATACAAGCAAACAGCACTGCAAGCTTCAAAGCCTTCAGCACTCTCAAATGACTAAGAATGGAACCCACATGGTGTGCTGCTGCCACCACACAGAAAAGCACATCTATGATACATGGCAGGACTTGCATGAAGCAAATAGTTTACTGGAAAGCTTAGAATTAAAGGAATATTGTGAAGGCTTTGAATTTGTTTTTATTTTGTATATTTTTAGTCACAATATCAAATACTTCAACTAAGAACCCAAGTCTCATATAGTCTATAACACTCTAGCTCGTAATTATAAATGGAAGAACAACTGCCTGGCATTTTGGCAAAGAAAGAAAGGACAGCATATAGTTCATATTCAGAACAATGAAAGAGGCACACAGTCCTCACTTAGGATCAAGAATCCATGGTGCTAGATTTTCTTCAAAAGTACATGAACGCATATGCAAAAAGCACTCTCTTCCACTATCCAGTGGGTGTTAACTTATACAGGCTTACTATATAACTTTTTATTGGGATGTGAATCCAAAACTTATGGACTATAAAAACAATTCCTCTACGGATGGTGTGCATTATGCATCATCACTGTGTTTTGGGCTTAAATGAAGTGTAAACAGAACAAATTTGCTCATCAGAATTGCCTGCACATCATGAAACTCCCTTTTAAAGGAATAAAAATTTCAGGGAGTTACCATCTCTTCTAGAAGTCCAAGAAAAGAGGATAACTAATGCATGCTGAAAGGTATCTTCAAGATCTTAGTGCTTTCTGTAGCTAAACTATGAAGCTTAGTTATAGAGTCATACTCTGCAACTCTCATGGAAGTATAGGCTCAGTGAGGATAAAAGGCATTAAGGGATTGTGCAGAATAATTACCCTGTTCACTTTTCTACTTAATTCAATTGATACTCTTTTAAGGGTTTAGATTGCAATGGTCAGCCTTTATATATTTTTGTGGCTGCTGACTTCAGCATTCTGTTCTTGGCTAATACAAATATAAACCCCACCAAATTTCTTTCTCATATTTCACTACTCATCAAATTCCAGTCAAATACATGCATGTAAACTCCCTGTCTAGTCTGGCATTCACATAATTTCTCTTTCATGACCTTTATGACCAGTGACCACATATGGGAGGGAAAGAACACAGACTGTCTCTCAGGGCCAGCATGTGTATACGGTGTTTATCAGAAGACTACAAAAAACCCCTGTGTGTGGGCAGGTTTATCGTATTTGAAAAGCTAAATGCTCTAATGAATATTTTAACTATATCTGAACACCTTTACCAACTTACAACATGCAGCAAGAGATGAGACTGAAGTTTATATCAGCACTTTAGTAATATTTTGGAGATATTAGAGGTGAAATTCAAGTCCAGGAGGAGCCTTTTTGACATATATATTGCAGATATAGCTACTTCTGAGATACATTTACATAGCTCCATGAGAATATCCATTACCTGTTAATAATAAGAGTTTTTTCAAGGGCCCAATTAACCTGGTCGTGTGTAGAAAAAAAGCCCCACTATGTTAAATACATTCCAAAAGTATAATTTTCTTTAGTAGGCAAAGAGCAACAAAAAGGAGCCTACAGATAAGGCAGGCAGTGCAAAAGTATGGAATGAGAGCTGTGATACAAGCAGGCATCTTTCCTCCTCTCTGATTCTATAGCCAACACACCGAACTGCTTCACTGATAGGGGATGGAAGCAGCGGTCGAGGAAGGCTGCTGTTATGGCTAGACAAAAGAGAGCTACATTATCCAGCCAATAACACACACCAGGATCTCCAGGGATCTGCTTTCTTTTGATTCAAGAAAGAAAAGTATGAATTGCTTGTATTAAAAACTAAGGTGCAGACTACCACAAGAGTTTTTCCTACACAGAATGTGTAGTCAGCAATCAGAACGTGTGGAGCAGAAACTCTGCATCCTAACAAAACACTGGGCTATTGTTGTGATGCGACAAGTAGGTAAAACCAGTAACACAACAGATTTTTTCATCGTTGGTCACATATTGGAGCCCTCTGGACTGTGCTGGAGAAGCTAGGTAGGTAGCTGAGAGATTGGATAAGCTGAAGACTGTCAAGAAAATGGTTGAGAGCTAAATACTTCCTTCGAAACAGCAGGACATCTGAGGAAATACAGTTCCTAGACAGAGGAATAAATCAGACCAATAAGACCATCCTCATGTCACAATTAAAAGAAAAAAATCTCTTACACCATCAAGAAAAAACAACTGATCTCAATTGTGCTAAGGGTTGAAAAGCAAAAAAGACTTTCTCATACTTCATGTGAAATCTGAAATAGTGAAAATACTTCACGGAGTTTTAAGGAGACAAGACAATGTATGAACTTATTCACCAGCTTGCTTGATATTAATGCAGAAGAATAATGTTAATTGTGAAATGGGATTTAATAAAACAAGATCAAGAGTGCAGTCCAAATCAATATTGTAACAAATAAACCATAGATAACTAATGATTTGTTGTCAAAAGTTTAAAAACTTGCTTGATATAGTCACCTATGCTTGGCATACTTAAGCCTAGAGTAAAACTCTTAGCCTACATAAAATCATATGTTAAAAATTAAAAGTGATTAAATTGCAATGTTAAAAAGCCCTAATTTTTTTAACATTGAGGGTAAGTAGTCTTCTGGGAAAAAAATCCATGGCCCTGCTAAGAGAATTAGTAGATTAATCTGCCCCGATTTTAGGAGATATTTATTTCTAGGAGATCTACTTCACTGAAATTTAAGTTTCAGAGTTAAATACAAGACAGCAAGAAGAATGGCCTCTAATGGCATAGAGTCACATTAGATACTGAGAATGTGTTACTGGCCTTCACAATCCAGACATTTATGGCAAAAATTGTGTACACAGCAGGAAACCCTGGGGATTACAATGTTAGTAAAAAGCCCTGGAAACCACACAACTAAAATACTTTATAAAGGCCTGTGGATTGTTTTTTTGGGCTTTTTTTTTTTTGGTCCTTGGGGATGGGACACTGCTTATTTAATTCTTCATGTTATAGAAAACTTCAAGAAAGAAAATAAATTACATTTCCAACATGGAAAAGCTGCATTGTGAAATAAATCACTTGCGTTGTAGAACTGTCTCAATCCAAAAGAAACAAGTTCTAACCTACTCTATTTATTGAACTGAGGGAAGAAAATACTCATAACTTATTTCTGGCAGAAAAATGAGGTATTTTAGTAACTCTTGTGAGAGACCACAGAACCAGGTGAGTCCACTGCCACTACAACATCTGTAATAAACATGGTTACCTTTCAGAACATGGTTTGGTTTAATTAGGGGCACAAAGAATGACAGTGAGCAAGGGGACCTGCAGCCTTCTATTACCTTCAGCTGTGTGTTGTAAGGTCACGATAATGCAACGCACACGAAGGTCCAGAATAAGATCCTGGATGATCTGAAGCATGTCATTGGGTATCTCGAGTGCAGTAAGAGACTCAGAACTTAACCTGGAAAACAAATAATTTAGATGGAAGTGTAAATCCAAAGGTTTTTTTAAGCAGATAAAACTACATAGAGTTTTTCAGACATTTTCTGCATATATAAATGCAACAGCTTCATTCTCAGTGTATCTTTGAAAACCAATTATCCCATTCTGAGAAGATTAATTATTTAAACAAGAAGATGGTAAATGCAGATTTATTTTTCTCTGAGATTACAATAACGTCATCACAGCAACATGCCACCTTTTTCTACTGTCTTCCTGCACTTTCCTGCTTGATCTCCTGTCCTATGATCCAAGAAAAATCCTTTTGGAGTAGAAGCAACTTTTTTTTGTTTGTTTGTTTGTTTTTAGATGAATACCTAGGTCAAATACAAGATCCACAACTGGGTTTCTGAGATATTTTTTACTTGCATTAAAACAGTAAAAGCAATTAAGCTGCCAGAAATAGTGATGTGGCTATGCACGAGTTTGCTAAGAATATACATATTCAAGGAGCCAAAATACAGCCACTGCACCATGTGCAGAGTAAATTAATTCACTGTTTTGCTTCCAACTCTGATCAGGCACAAATCACTGATACTATACATGAAGATGGAGACATTAATTTTGGGTTTTTTCCTTTAGAAATTGTAACACAGCAGCTATTAGCAAGAATTAGCATTTCAGCTTTCAATTAAAAAGCTGCAGTCATGCTCAGACTTAGTCAGGGGCACAGAGGGATGTTCACTGCTTTAAACCAACTCCTGGATATGTAAGCAAGGACATTTCAAAGGCAGTCACTGCCATCTGCCCTACTGCTATTACTGAGGAAAGCACAGGTAATAGAAAGTGCCAAGGTGGAGGAATAGGAAGCCACAAAGCAAACAAGTGGAACATTTCCAATCATCCACCTGTAGGCAGCAGCTCCATACCGCTGGTATTGGGCACAAACCACCAAACCCCCACCATTAACCAGAACGCTCTCCACCCAGCACAAATACTGAATTAGTAGATGAGAAAAATCTCAGCCAGCCAGAAAACAGCATGTAAATGCCAATCTGTGAGAAATTTAAGTTACTTTAGACTGCACAGAAGCCCTGTATTTTAGAGTTGTTTCCACTGAGCGTACAGCTGTCACATTTCTAACATCATCCTTTTTATCTCATAATACACCCTAACAAATACATACCTTTCATAACTTTATAGTAAGAAAAAAGTCTTGTCAGAACTGGCTCACTTGATTGCATAGTTTAATTTATTCTCTGGAACCTATTAATACTGGGCAATGACAGGATGGGATGCCAAGAGAAAGACAGTGCTACACCTGTTTGATACACACAAATATGTATGTGGGGTATCAGCTGTGTGAGACTTACAAACGAGCAAAAAATTAGGATCACACAGACGTAAAAACAACTCCTTGTTACCTAATACTGTGAGTTTTATCTTCACTCTTCAATACAAGCAGAAAACAGTAAATCACTTGTGAGATGACAGAAAAGAGTAAAATTCTATCATGTGCTTCACAAAGACTTTTAGTTACGCACTGTGAAAATAAGGCTTAAGCTATTACATAACTTTGTAACAAATAAAGGTCTTAGGCAATGTGTAGACTCCTCCTGGAAACTGCCCACCTTCATCATTAGTGAGTCACAAGAATTCTGTCAGACTGTCAAAGTGTGGGGGCTTGAAAATTAACACACTTGCAGCACTTGCATAAATGTCTGACCTGGTCATCACTGATCAGTACTCTATGATCACATGTTCCATTTCTGTTCTCCAGATGCCCCTTTTCTTCTCTACTTTTGATCACTTTGCAGTAAAGTCTAGCCCACTTTGCTCAAGTGCCATCACTAAGAAAATAAGGTGGGGAAAGGAGTAGGAGGGAGAGAGGATTTCCCCAGCTCTCAGTTCAGTTGTTCATAACAAGGGTAGTGCCCGGAAAGCAAAAGGAGATTCTCTGAAAGAGAGTCTTCATGTAGTCTGTAGCCTCAGCCTGGATCTTATCTCACATGGCAGGAGCACAGCTAACCTTTAGAGAACCGTTGCTTACATCTCCATGCCAGTATTACAAACGTGCAAGTGCTATAGTCCACAATTTTGTGAAGCTCATGGCTTGCTTCTCATAAAAGGGCAACACTGGCGCCCGTTTATATCTTTGCATCAAGTCAATTCCTTCTTAAATGGAAAGCATTCCATAAAATTCAACCAGAATAACAAACTTCATGTGGAAATATTTTTCTACGTGGTTACAGTACAGAAAATTTAAGTCACAACAGAGTGGAAGTGTTAAACAGACTTGACAACAGGTATGTATCACCCCATTAGCACTAAGAGCATCTATACATGATGATAGCCCTTTCTTTTCTTCATCTGTGCTTTGTGTTACCTGCTTTGAAAACTCGAGATAAAAAGTACAGTATCATACCCAGGTATTTCTCAAAAGGAGAAGTTCCTTTTCAAAAGATAATGACAATTCTTCTAGGCCCACAGACAAATGCAAGCAAATTCTGTGTATTAGTGAGTAATTTTGCAATTAATGAAATTTACATTATAATCTTATAAAAAATGTAAGTAGAATGACATTATAAGTAGGAGTATCACCTTCCATTAAACAACTGTAATGGTAAATTATGATCTAAGAATAACTACAGTGAAAACCATGATATTTTCACCCATTTTGGCAAAGATGAGAAGACAAGTAGCAAATGCAACAAATACTTGCTTTCTACCCTAAAGAATCAAATTGTGTTTCATTCACTGAGTGTCTATGCTCCATGCTGTGCCAGACAAATATTTTGTTCAAACTTTTTCATAAGGCGCTATGGGAAAAAATGAATATATTATCATGTAATAAGACTATACCATGAGACATTGTTAATTACACTTGCATATAGAACCTTAAATCTGACATAAGCAATTTTTTTTGCAATCCTATTTTTGAAAATGTTAACATTCTCAAAATTCAAGGTATTTAATTTAGTAAACAAAACATTTTGTCCTAAAGCACACATATTCCATGAATAGAATGATTTTATGAGTCCAGGGATCCATTTACCTTACAGTCTGGATAACATGTGTTAGCCACTGGCCAGAAAGTTCAGATTTCATCTCCCAGCCACCATACTGTCTTAATTCTCCTTCTCTGAGGCTGAATGGAAGCAAGGCTCCACGTATAAGTTTTACCAGAGAGTGCATCACTTCCTGAATCATTTTCTGCATCAGAAGGGGAATAAAAATCAAGGAAAAATCTCTACTAAGATGCTTAAGCAGCCATGTACTTGCTATATATAACAGGTAGAAATGCTAGATTTACAGGCAGCTCCATATGGTGGAAAGGAGAGGAGAAGAAGGTATGAGGAGACACAAATTATTTAAGAAATCTTATTTTTCAAGGTGACACTAAAGTATATTGTCATGAAGGACAAATGAAAGAAATAAAGGTTCTCCCCACCACATATCCCCCAACTACTTACCTTGAAATCATTTTGTCTTTGCCTAGCATTTTTCTTCGATCTTTCCATTTGGCCAGATTTTTCAGCAGTCTTGCGAAAATGAGAAAATTGAAAAGGGTAAGTATCTTATAATCACTGTTAAAATAATTCTGAAAAAAGGGGGTTTTAAAGTGAAGAAGTGAAAACTGATGAGTTTATGATGTAATTACAAAAACGAACTCAGGGCATTTCACCAAGCAAAGACTATACACATATGTATCTCAATAAACTCAACTTACTGTAGGTAAGTACCCTAATGTTTAATTCTGAGGAAAAATGTGTGTTTAAGACCATGTCAGAGACAAGCATAAGACTAGCTCAAGCTGTACAAGCTTCCTGAGGTTAAAGTTTTCTCACTGCAGTGTTAGTGAGATCTAAAACATATATAGTCCATTTGTGCATCAAGTTTACATGAAGAAACTGTATTTTTTTTAGCATGGAAGCTGACCTGAGAAAGACATCAATGTGAAGTGGGAATCAATTTTTGGAATGAAGGCAATTTGGAAATGATGTGAAGGGGAGGGTTGCAGGGTATTTGTTCGGTTTAGCAACAGTATTTTGTTACAACGCTCTTTAAATAATTTGACTAATTGTAAAAGAGACTGCAAAATAAGCAGCATCTTCATTGCCACTTCTTTGAGAACAGAGGAACATGAGTACACTTTGCATGAGACAGTTACAGTTGAAGAAAAACATGATTTGACTAATAGTCTTCCTGTTTGTAGTTCTACCCTTCTGTGGAGAGTACTGAGAACTCAATAGAGTAAATGATATTGAAAAAGTTATTTCAAATCCTAGGTGAAGTGCAGATGTCGAATTTTATACTTATAAAATTTCCTATCTTATGTTTGTACAGCAACATCTACTGGACAAGAAGTGCAATAACATGACAGAGGTGTCCTCAAAGACAATCCGTTTGCTTTCAAATAATTAATTTGAAATGCTGTGTTTTTCAAAATCCTTCTTCAGTTAAGCATTTAAGATTTTTAAGACAAAATAAATAATCTGAAGCGAGCAAAAATTAGAGAACAATCAAACTCCCTAACAGTTTTGGAAAATACATAGCCATAAAACTCTTGTATGTTAAAATTCTGAATTATACCATTTCAGACAACGACAACAACCTTCAAACTATTGCTGCATCTAACTCCCACTTCGCTCTTCTAAGCATTAAAAAGAAAGTAAGTTATATTCCTTGAAACTTCAGATAGCAACTTTAAAGTCACACTGGTTAACAGATGGATTAAACAGAGCAATTCACAGATCTTTGATATTTTTTTTTCAGTGGTTTTGCTGAAGACCAATCTTAAACCTTTCCTGCACAGACAGACCAAAACTATCTTGTGGTAAGATCAACGGTTACTACTTACATTTGTGACTTCACCTAGAGTGATTCAAAGAACTCAACTTTTCAAACTGTTGAAATACCACATACATCTTAACTGACAATATTTTAAGGCATTCAGCTAACCTTTCAGAACTAAAAAGAACTCCCTCCCTGCCAAAACCCTACAAACTGAACAACATAAAATACATCTTGAAATGCATATGTGGAGATTTTCTTTCTACATTTTTAAAATGTCTTGAAGACTTAAATAAGCTAACTGAAATAACCCTGTATACCATTTTTATAGGATGTTTCTTAAAAAAATGTAGCAATTGCCTTGCTTCCTGAATGATGATAAATAGCAAGTAATGCAATGGTAAAAGTATTTTCTTCGTGGACAATTAAAATCTGTACTGTTTCTGACAGAAAAACATCAACTTTCAGTCTTGAATGCACTGTGATGACAGATACTCTTAGGTGCTCTAGAAATCTTCCATCTTATGTCACCCCCTCCTCCCACTCATCCTCAATTGACTGTGGCATGCAGAACACACAGGAGGAAGGGATTCCTTCCTATCTCCCCAAGAACTCGGGGGCTTCTGTAAGGACCAAAGGAGCAGAAGAAATCAAATGTATGGGGATTCATTTCTCCAAAGTTCAGAATTAGGCCCAAACATAGAAGAGCATATGTACCTTACAGACTAACAACAAAACTACCTCTTTTGTTTTTTAATTTTAACACTGAAACAATGTTTTGTTCAAGCGGGAGAGAAGATCACTACATTTTCCACTTGCAGTCATTTTCATGAGCAGGATTTCCTAGCCTTGTTTACAGTTCAAATCTTCATTTCTCTAGAAATTGCTTTCTATTTCATTGTACACAGAAAAAAAAAGAACACAGTAACTTAAGAAGTAAATTTGTAAAGTTTAATTTTCTACAGTACTAGTGTCAAAAAGAAAGGTTATCATTTCCCTTATGAAATAAATTATTTTTGTGAAAGTCAACAGTACTAAGGTTTATTCTCGATTTTACTTCCTTCACTGAACATTTTGTGTAAATGTCATATCTTTCTTTTGATTATTATAATGTAAAATGAGGATCACATATAGCATTTTTTCATCTATCATGAAGCTATAATGCTCTGTACATTGTGTTCAACATGTAAAGGGCTATATTACCGACTAGTATCATCATATGAAAACAGTATATTGCTTTATAAATAGTAGCAATAAATCGATAAATTAATTCTTTGGTTAGAGAAATGGAAAATAAGAACATTAGCTTCCAAATGTTCTTTTTCAAAGGCTTTTGTCTTTTCTACTAAAGCTGCAAAGAATAGTAGATAGACGTGATGACTTAAGGATTTAAACACAGCAGAACATTGTATACTACAAATTAATTTATAAAAAATTAAATTTGAGGTATATTTTCAAAATCTGTTAATAGTGTGCATATAAAGACAGCATGTGTCATGAAAAATTACTTTTGTTTTTTCCCCTTCTTGGATTATTGGGATTATATTTGCATGATTTGGAAAAATCAGATCATCTGAGCAAGGAGGAGTAGTAGCAGCAGCTGACTAATCTTCCAAACTAGACTCCCTGTAATGAGTCTGTGAATTCTGCTCTGTGCCTTGGTTATTTTGCAACTCTGGTCTTGAACCTAACCTCACTTCCAAATACTTAAAACTCAAGAAATGAGTACTCCTTTTCCAAAGAAAGGAAACAATAATTTTTTCTGTATGACTACCCTTCATGCAATGTGCTATTTTTTCAGATCACCAGTGAAGGGCCAGCTATGAGTAAGAGGTGAAAGTATACAGATATTATTGAGTCCAGCAACCAGAATACAGACACAATCCCCACTGTCAGAATTTAATGTAATTCCACTGTATGCTTATGTTATTTTAAAAAGAACAATCTCTTATTAAAATAAGTTGTTACTTCTACCAGTGAAATATAATACTTCAAATATAATTACTACAGACTTTTGTTACTTGTAAGACCTTTATATAGAAGAATCCTTACCTCACTAAATAAACTTCCATTCACATAAGAAATCCAGAGCTTCCAGAAGTTGGGCAGCTGACTCACAACAAGTTTTGTTAGCTTTTCAACAAATACAACTTGCTGAGGAGCTTTGTATCGCCAAGCTAAATGGGGGATAGGGGATGAAAAAGACATTAACATTTTTAAAAATAACAAGAACGTACATAAAAAACCGTTTGGGTAAAAATAAATGTTTAAAGCCCAGTCCATATCTCTGTACACAATTTGTACACATACAAGCTCTTTCTCCTCCTCTCATATGCTTACCAGGTGCCAGCACTATGACTGTTTCTACAGAATAGTTCCACTTGTGGGGATATCTAAGGCAATTCACCTAAAAATCCATTCAGACAGTCTTCTGTCTTCAAACCACTCTAAAATGCATGTTAGTGTGAAAGCAGTCAAGACATTAGAAGAGTTTCAAATGAAATCTTGGCAACAGATAACTTTTTCAGTTTCCTCTGCAATAGGCAAAAAGGCGCAAAGAGAAAGCTGAACAGAGGCAGAAGTACTCATTAACACAGAAAATAAAGGAAACCTTGTGAAATATTCTTCCATAACCACCTATGTTCTCCATTGAAACCTTCATGATTACAGTGGTTTAACAAAACAGGGTATCAGCACAACATTGATAAGAGATTTGTATTTCACTTCAGGAACTACAGTCTGCTTTGGAACACCTGGACAAAGAAATCATATATTTTTTGAAAAATCCCAAAACAAATAGCCCAAAGCCCCCAAAACACTTTAAAATTACGTGTGCTGATGTGGCGGTTTTTTATGTATAAACTCAGGTCTTGTACAAATCATAAATTTAAAAATTTGATATCAGCCTATGTAACACTGTGGAAATGCAGAAAAATGTTGCATGAAATAGCACTTTTTGTATCTACTTTGCTACAGAATGTTGCCTACACACAAAAGGAATTCACCAGTTAGGCAAAAAATAGCTGCCTAATAGCACATTACATACTAGTAGGCTTCACCAGGCCTCACTATTTTATTGTATTGGTAGACAGTCTTGAATCTCCTTGAAGTACAGCATGCCTTCAGCAGCTTCCATTTGTCGAGGTGTGGATCATGTATTGCTCCGTTTCTTTATCGGAGAATTGAACATCTGCCCTACCCATTTCTTCTCATGGCCAAAAAGTTGAGGCATTTGAATTAGTATTTGAAAATAAAATCATCATGGAAGCCAAAAATCTGGAAAGAGGCCGTGACATAACTCAAGTGCAACTGTGCTGAGAGTGATATATCTGTTTAGGATGCATGAAAATGTCAAAGCTCAACTAGAAAAGCTCCTAGTGCGGACACAGATAAGATACTTTCACCAGCTTGGTTTATGACTGCCAGAGAACCGGTCTAGACCCAGTGGCAGAAAAACTCTCATTAACAAGCTGTGACTATATCAGGAAGCTGTGCCAACAGAACTATAAGCATCAGAGGCTCTGTAATTTCTACAAACCCAACTTCTAACGAAAAAATGTTCAGTTCCTTTGAGAAACCATTTCATCTTTGCCAAAAGCTCCAGCATTAATCCAAGGTTATAACCAGGGAGGTCTGTTGGTAACTGGAAACATACTGGCAAGATTTACTTCATCTATGAAGTTCATTTCCCCTCGAGGAAGCATATTTCAGACTTAGTCTCAAGCCTGCAGACAGCAGATACCTCTTAGAATAAGCTACTACACATCGCATTGTAACGTTATGTATGGCCATAAATTTAGGATATTTTACTTTGTTACTAGAGAAAGTTCCAATCTCTATTTTATTCCATTCATTCTATTATAATCTCTGCTATAGCATTCTAAAGATGAAACTAGAGCTATTGTCTATTGTTTATGTATTCTCATGAATATATGCTCAAGCAAGAGCAGAATGCTATCTGAATGCTGCAGTTTTGAATTCACTGTTATTTATTTAACCAATATCTTGGATAATCACTGTCAAACATATTGGAGAAAAGAAACTCCAAACACACCGAATCACCAAAAAAAGCCCAGAGATGCCATTCCTTAAATTTACCAAAAACTAAAAAGATCCACAAACAAACTGAAAACAGAACACATCACAGCACATTTGGCACGACACCTCTTGCACAGGCATCCTAAATTGTAGGTTTGCTTTGTCTCTCCACTCAGAGAAGAACAAGCATGGCAGAGCTAAGAGTGGTCATGTGTACCTAAGCACCAAGGAACTCAACTCATAGGCAACTCATTCTACCTCTAGGAAATTGGGATGGATTATTATAGTGCTCCAATTCTCCAGTTTTCCTTTGAATCTTGGTTTAAATTGGTGTCTACAGAATACACAACCGTGCTGAAAATTTACCTTTTTCACTTTGTTAAAGGTAACAGATCCATAACTAAGACTCTAAAAGCAAAGTAACTGAAGTGGAATTGTCAGCCATATAGACAATTAAGTCCCTGCTCGTGCAAAAGAATTCAAACAACTTAAACTGGATTTTGGGTGTTGCTTGCTACATTAAGTGTGGCATTAGTATTGTTAGTGGATAGCATTCAAAAACAACCAGTAATTTAGTGTTTTGCTTTGTAACACTTGTTATCACCTCCACACAAAGCTTTGGACAAAGGTAACAGTAAAACAGCTATTTCAGTAAGGAATGATCTATTCTGTGAAAAGTATGTCTTCTGTCTCCTGTGATGTCACCATTGAAAGATTCCAGAGATGAAGTTGTTTGGACAAGGGTATTGAGGACACTTACAACACAGAAGGCCTCAGCTACTTGTGGACAGACTTCTCGAGCTTAGTCAAACATTTTGTTTCCCTTTTTGGGTTTAAAGAATCAGAGAGCCAGATATGTGAAGTCATAGAAGGCACAAATGCAAGGAGAAACATCTTAGCAAACACACAAAAAAAGGTGTAACAAGCAAAATGCAGTAGGCAGTAGGCAGCTAAAATATCTGGTCTTGAAGAAAAACAGACTTTTACTACTTTAACTACATTCTAAGAAGCAAGTTTTGAACTTGAATTCTATGAACTGCTCTTTGCTTGCAGAAAACATGGAGGACTTCTTTAGTAAGCAACAGTGATGTATAAGAAGAAAGAACTGTATTTTGTAACAATACAAAACAAACACACAGAGTGCAGGTACTACAACACACAGTGGACAGTGGGGGGGGCTGCAGCATTTTTTTCAAACAGAACAGATGCCTACCATCATCACGGCCAGACTGAAAGCTGCTGCCCCTTTTCAGTGAAGCAGTTTGACTAAGGTGGCCAATCGGCGATGGACGCACATCACTGTCCAGGTCCAGCATGGGGCTGTGGAGCAATGTATTGCCTGGGCAGAGGGGAAAAAACCCAAAAGTTAGAATAATTTTGCACATCAGTTGACATGAAACTGCATGCTGCATGTGGAATTCTAATTTAATACAGTGATACAAATGTTATCTTACAAAAACATTCTTAATTTTATTTACTCTGTTGATCCATATCAATGCTATTCAATACCACCACTATGGACTCCTCTAGCAAACCCAAAACCATAAGTGCCATGGGTACAATGTCATTCTTTGGTCTGTATCTTTCTCTGTTTATAATTAATGCCCTACAATTAGTTGCTTAAAAGCCATGGATAAATATGTATTTATGCCATTAGTGATATCACCCATGCTTTTTTTCTGGTGTATGTCCTAAATACACTTTTCAACAGCGAAAGTTTCTTTCAAGTCTAGCTGAAGCGGTTAAGGGCAGAGTGCTCAAATATTACTTAGTTGTTTTGTCTCTACGGAGTTCAGGTAGAAAAAAATCCATCCATCCATCAGGAATCCGATGAACTAATGGCATGTTTCCTTTGTAAATGTCCCTATGTTTACGTAACTACAAACCCACAAAATATTTTCCAGTGTATCAAACAATTATTTTATATTTCGGGTGCCTGTCCACATGTAGGCCACTATTCACAAGTCTAAGCAAGGATCTAATCTGATGGAGAGCGATACTTGGAGTCCAACATGCATTTTGAAAAACAACCACATAAGAAGAATAAGAGGACTATGATAATTTGTTAATGTACTATGACATTGTCAATAAATTTTTAAAAGTCTAAATTGCTACTTTATGCATTTCACTTATAGAGCATTTCTGAAAGTAGTCATCAAAAAGTATTTCAGTATTGCTCACCTGAGCTGTAACAAGTAAACTTAAATGAACTAAAATTCCCAGAATTATAGAACAGCCCAGGCTGGAAAGCTCTAATACTGAAATATTCAGATTCAGGAGGAGCACAAAGCAAAAACTTTTCAAAGCACATTTATTCTGAGCAGCATGGCAGAAAGGATACACCTAATCCTTTTACTTCAACAGCTGGGGCTTAAAGAGCAATATAAAGCATTGTGAAACTTCACCAACTTCCAATAGGTGACAGTATTGGGTTTTAGTTCATTTTGAAAGAAGTTTTTTCTCTTATAATTCTTTAAAGGCTTTTAAAGAAATTTCCTATGGCCTTTCACTGCAGCATTATCATCACCAAAATAACTGTCAGTTCTTCCACTCATCTTACTGTTCATAGTATAAGACATATAAGTAAATAGATCCAATTTGCTACATCATTCACAATTGTGATTGACACACTGTATTAACTGACTCGGTGAACTCAGCCTTCCTATCTTCAGGCTGTGCTATGATTCTGTTCACTATTTAACTCCTACATCAGTTATTAAACACAACTCATCTTTATGACAGCTTTAAAACTGATGAGTTTCCTGTAATATAGAATGTGCTGGAGTGATTTTCGCATATTATTCACTGTCAGCACAGACAAGATCTACAGTGAATTTGAACAAGAATTTGTGGAAAGATTTTTCCTTTTGAAAGAACTAAAAATGTACAATAATGAGAAAGCAAAAAGCTAAAGCTTTGCAGTAATCAACATCCAGGAAAACAATCCAGCCACTTTACAGAATGAAGTAAAACAAAACAAATTAATTTCTCTTCAGATTAAAAAATTATATCTATTAATTATCTTTCAGAAATTCTACACAGAAAAAAAAAACTGGAGAAGACCCTGAGAAAATTTAAATGTCTCACATAGTTTCTGGGATTTCGGGAACATCTGAGTGAGATTCAACATATTTGCATTTTATTTGGGAAAAATAAAGTATGTCAAGAAGGCTAACTCAAAATTGTTACAGGCATTGCTATTTAAAACATATTTTATTAAAAAAAAAAAACACCGGCAAGAGTGTAGCAATGCTATTTTCACAAAAACTACAACAAAAAAAATCCCTCTGATCTCTCTGCAGAGAATTTAAGTTCTCAGCTTTCAGACAGCGTGTTAATATAAGGAATGTCTTGTAAACAGATGGTCTTTAAAAATGACAGTGCCAATTAAACCTCAGAATTAAGAAAAACAGACACACTTACCAAAACACCTTAATGTGAATTAGCTCAATTAAAACCACTTGCTCGAGGTAGCTGTATTGCTGCTGATGCACTAAGCCCACGCAGCCTGAATGGTTTAAATATTCACCAGTAAGAGAAAACAAGAGAATACTCTCTTGTTCCACCAGAAAAACCACATCATCAGTTTTCTGGCGTACCAGGAAAAGAAAGTTTAACATGAACTAATTTCTTAATTGGTTGTCTAGCATTACAAGCAAGTATAACACAGCAGCAGGGAACTACAACAGCACATATACCCTCAGGACTAATAAACATCTGGACTACATTAGCAAAGCTGATCTTGCTTTCACCCTACCAGAAGATAGCGCTTGAAGACTGCTCACTAACGCATAAATCTTGTAAAAAAAGTGAGAGTTAACTTGCAAACAATTTTTCTTCCATCCCAACTCATTCCCTCTCTGGAGCCAGCAGCTTAAATTTAGCAGCATAATGTAATACAATGAATTAATAGTAGTATGGACTGCAGACAATAATATTTATAAACCTAAATAAACGAACCAAATAATAATTTACTGTCCACTCAGTATTTGATTTGTATACTATTTTTACATTCCTAGATCCTGAATGTAGGACAGCAACAATTTAAAGTTTTGAGAACTTTTTATTGTGCTAACAGGTTTCAAGAAGTATAAACAACACGAAAAAAATAGTCCCGGTTGAGCTTTACTTTTAAAAAATACACTGCATCTTTGAAGCTACAAAAGTATGTTTTTCCAAAATACAGCATCTACATGAAGCAGTATCTGTCAGTGACTCCATGTCCAAGTATATATTTAACCAAGGAAACACAAGAGTACTACATTCCCTTCTTCCACCCAACAGTAATGACAAAACAAAATGATAATTAACGCCTTATTACATTTACGACTATACAATCAAGAGAAGATCAAATATGAAGTTTTAAGGATCTCAATACTGCTTTTATTTTATTTTTAAAGGATTTTAGTGGGTTTCAACTTTTTGTGCACAGATATTTTGAAGGTGCGCATTCAGAGGCTGTGTGAAATAAAAATATTTCAGCGGCTTTGTTCACTCTTCTTCTGTTTTAGTGCAGTAAGATCTCACCAAAATAAGAATCTAAAGAACACAGTAGAAGCTCAATTCTTTTTGGTATTATTTCTCGAACTTTTTGTAAATCAAAAGCCACCTGCGCTGACCCGTAACTGCAAGTTTATCATGCTATAGGGTACTTGTGTTCCTACAGTACCTATAGCTCACGTACAAATCTCAACCCCATTTTTTGGATTGTTACCTGTAAGCTCTTGGCAAGCAGTGCATTACAACCTCCATTAAAAAGACAGCTGACATGAAATTTGCCTAAAATAGATTTTTCCATGATACGCAAACCAGTCAATGATTTAAAATTTTAAAAGCTGCTTTACCTTCTTATTCCTAAACTATTACCAAACTCAGTGTAAAATTTTTCTGCCATATCCATTGCTCCACAACTGCCTGGGTTTTTTCCCCCCCTCTGAGGTCTGGCAGGCAGAGGTTTCTTGAAAGAGTCACATATCTCTCACCTCCCTCAATAATCCAGCCTCAGCTACTCTGCAATTCTGCCAGCCTGGTGCACCAATTACCCGACGCCCAATAAAGATTTTTGCAAAAGCTACTGGTGATCAGGGGATTAATATTGTGCCAGCACTTCCTGCAGTGACAAAATTTTTAACAAATGACCAACCTTAGGTTAAGTAATTTTTCACTGAGATTTTCCATGTAAAATCAAATGTCTGCCATTACAGAGACTTGCTCGTATACAACATGTACATGTACATACAACATATGTGCAACCAGGTGAATACAGCTACTGTGTTTTCTCACCCGTTATGTATCTTACAGTGAATTTTCTCACAGGCTACAATAGCGAGGAAAGGCTGATCTATAGCCTCCTGACTCTGAAGGGCGGCAGACTTCCTTACCAGCCTTAAACACCTTTGAACATTTTTTCCTGTGCACAGCGGGCCCTTGTCCTGTGCTGCAGCCTGACCACCCACTGTTGCTTGTTGACCAAACACACAGCGCCTGGAGCCCGCACTGACACAATCAGGATAAGATTCCTTTCTATGACACCACATTGACAATTTCAATTTGTCTAGGCAAGAAATTAGGGGAGCAGGACAAATTACTGAAAAATTAACCTGCTCAGCAGATGAATAACTGCATTTTATTCTTTTTTTTTAAAGTACTTTTTCTTTCTAACCTTACATCTTATAGTGATCAAGAAGAAAATGGACTGTTTTTCTAGAAAAGAGATGAGCATGTAAGATTAAAATTGATAGAAAAAAATGCTTTTGGGAGATATTTAAAAATGAATGCTTTTTAAAATCTTAAGACTAGTTTTCATACTGTAAATGCATTTATAATGAAACTGCTTTTCAGTTTACTACAAAAAGGGTAACTGGGCCTATTCTAGTGGTGTTCTAAGTATTTCACAGCCTAAGGATATGCCTTATTGTCAGCCCTTCAGGCCAAAAAATTCTGAAACAAGAGCCAAGCAGTCGAGTTCAGCACATAAATAAAAATGACTTCATTTTACTAGCTCCAGCAGACATTAAGATCTTCAGCACTTTTGGAAAAGCTCATTTTAACACGACTGCCTGAAAAAATACTAAAGACTGGAACAGACACAAAGGTAAAATTCTGGCCACTGACGAGTTTCAATCTATCTTTATTCATAATATCTTTAAAATTTTGATTTTAAGCTACCTGTGTTGCTTTTTAATACCAATAGTTACTATCTTTATAGTACTTTCATATTATTTATAATATTACATAAAATTAGAATGCCTCCTGAACTTCTGAACATGCTGGATTCGACTAAAATTTCTAAATTACAGCTAACTTACAAATACAGGTATTAAAAGAGGAAAATGAATC